CATAAGAGAAAGTACCAATAACTCAGACAACAGTGTGATGTTTCAGGACTCAGTGCTCCGGAGGCAGACTACTGAAGCACTATGCCTGAATGAAGGAAATTAGAGATCACATTATCTCTAGTTGAAACAAAAAACAGGACTATGTAGCACTTTAAAGAATAACAAGATGGTTTATTAGGTGATGAGCTTTCATAGGCCAGACTCGCTTCCTCAGATCAAATAGCGGAAGAAAATTGTCACAACCATATATATTTTCTTCCACTATTTGATCTGAGGAAGTGGGTCTGGCCCATGAAAGCTCATCACCTAATAAACCATCTTGTTAGTCTTTAAAGTGCTACATAGTCCTGTTTTTTGTTTCAAAAACAAAAGGAGACCAATCTTGATAAGCAAAAAAAAAAAAAAAGGTCGCTGTGCCTTTAAATTCCCATGCTCCCACCCTCCCGGCCACTGCCAGAGGTAGAAAAGTGTGCCTCACGGCCTTCCGTCTGAGACAAACAGAAAATACCAGACATTTTACATGTCCACTATTTTCTCGTTTTTAACCAGACGGTGAAAACCGGACACCTGGCAACCCCAGTCTAGAAGCATCTTTATAAGAGAGTTACTATTGCAGAAGCAGACCAGAACCACGCAACATAACTCCTGGAGCACATAAAAGGGCTTATAGTTGCAAAATTAAAGGACCTAAAAAACATTCTAATTAGACCTGGGTGCAGAACTTTTTTTTTTTTTTGGTTTACTGGTGATCCCAAAAAAAAGCCCAAGCAAACATAATGACTTTCAAGGTGACCTTAAAAGGACTGTTTTTGAAATTTGAATGGCAAAAGTCATTTTGGATCTAACGGAACATTTCATTTGACCTCGAATGAAATGTTTTTGTTTCACCTCTGAGCATTTTATAAAACTACAGTGGAAGGAAATTATGAGACAAAAAGTCACATTGAATTAAAAAAAATACACATGAAAATGTTTCACTTTGTAAATGTCAAAGCAAAAGATATTTCTGGACATTTTTGGAAATCAGCAGAAAGTCATCGAATGTTTTGGTGCCGCGGAATCGCCATTTTTCACCACTAATGACGATCCAGTTGAAATATTTTGCCCCGCTCCAACCATGACACCTTTAAGCCTTTCCAACACAAAATTTTTTTCTTCTGTCACGCCATCTGCCAAAGTACATGAAAAGAAGTGAAAAAAGATGCAGTCAACTCCCGGCCTACTGACCCTTTGTCAGACAGGCAGCCACTTTCACTGTTGCAGAGATATGACACCATCATCGATGGGAGAAAATCATCCACAAGGCAGACGGTCATTAAAATACAGTTGTGAAAATAGTTCCACATGAAAGGATAATTCCGTCTAATATTTTTCTGTGTTTTGGTTTTTTAAGAAAAGAACTAGAAAATACCATCGAAGATGCTAGGTTGAAAGAGGACAGAGGAAATAGGAGATGTGGGTCAGAGAAAATAGTGGCAGTGAAATTAAAGACTCTTGAAAGTCTTACATATAAAGGAGCAGAGTTAAGGTTACCCAGAAAGCCGTAACTTGCATTTCCTGCCTCACCAGGCCACTGATCTCCTAGGTAACTGGCAAGTTACAATCCTATATTATAATTTCAGCTTTTTGCAACTTGAAAGACATCTGGTCGTAAAGAGAGGTGGTGGTTTTGGTCAGCTTTGGGCAGAACACTTCTATTCAGAACTGGTGGGGAGAAATGGGATTTTTTTTTTTTTGCCACAGAAAATTTAGACAAAAATGCAGGAAAAAACAGTTTTTGCTGAAATTTTCCACGGGAAATTTCAAGCTTTTGATTTAAAAATATACACAAATGGTCTTTCCTGAAAACTGAAACATTTCCCCCCAAAACTTGACATAATTTTGGCCCAGTCAAAAATATTGTAATTGTGAAATGCCGCAATGGTGCCTCACAGGAGCTGCAGTTCAGGGATCTCGTGCTCCAATGCTCCTTTATATCCCAGCATCCTTGGTGAGATTACATCTGCGATAATTCACAACAGTCTCCCCTCTGAACCACTGCAGTGCCTCATGGTCCCATTCTCCTCTACAGGTCAGACCCCTGGGTTGGCCTACATCTCCCATGATGCATTGTGGTTCCCCCATAGATGACCTGCCATCATGCACTGCAGCAGTCACATGGCCACATTGCATGATGGGAGATGTAGTCTTGATGGTTAGCCTGTCCTACAGCAGGAGGTAACCAAAGCACAGCTCCCAGAATGCACCGCAGTCCAACTAAGGAGCTCCGCCTAGAATGGAGAATGAGGAGAAAAATTGCACTACAGTTTTCATGAAGCAGTGGGGCAGCATTTCAAATCAGAAAAAACTCAGGTTTTGACGGTGATTTTTTCTGCGAGAAAACTTTACATTTTCTGCAGGAACCAGACACATTTTATTGGATCAGAAACCCAATTTTCCAGACAAAAAACAATGAATAATGATACCGAGTGCTTTTCATCAGCAGGTCTCAAAGCACTTTAGGATCAATACCTTTGCAGATGGGGGAAACTGAGGCACGGAAAGGGGACATGACTTGCAGCAGGGCAGGGCTAGGAAGAGAACCCAGGTCTCCTGAAAGCCAGCTCAGTGCCTTATCCTGTAGGCCGGCCTGTTCTAAAAACAACCCCCTCCCCCCCGCACAATGTTTGGCAACACTGGGCCGGTGATAGGGTCTGCAGCCCCTTTAAGAGAGAGTGGGTAGGCTTCACTGTAGCCACGCCCAGAGCATGTGACTGACAACCAAGCTGGCCCAGCTGCTGCTGGCCCCGCCTCCTCTTAAAGGGACCAGCACCCACTTTATTTGTAGGGTCTCTGCACCGCATGGCTCCTCTGGTGAGTGATGAGGCCCGAGCGCTGCCGGAAGCTCTTCCCACACTCGCCGCAGCGGTAGGGCTTTTCCCCCGTGTGGATCCGCCGGTGGATGGTGAGGTGGGAGCTGACGGAGAAGCCCCGGCCGCACTCGGCACAGCGGTACGGCCGCTCCCCGGTGTGGGTCCGCTGGTGGAGGTTGAGGGTGGAGCTCTGGCTAAACTGCTTCCCACACTGGTGGCACTGGTAGGGCTTCTCCCCGGTGTGGGTGCGCTGGTGCTTGGCCAGGTGGGAGCTGACAGCGAAGCTGCGCCCGCACTCGGGGCACTGGTAGGGCTTCTCGCCGGTGTGGGTGCGCCGGTGCAGCACCAGGGTGGAGCTCTGGCTGAAGCTCTTGCCGCACTCCCCGCACCGGTAGGGCTTCTCCCCCGTGTGGACCCGCCGGTGGATGGTCAAGTGGGAGCTCACGGAGAAGCCCTTCCCGCAGTCGGGGCACTGATGGAACCTCTCCGCCGCCGGCACCCGCGGCTGGGGGGGCAGCTGGGCAGGGCGCCCGCTTTGGCCGAAACTCCCCCCACACTGGGTGCACACGGGCTGGCTCCCCGCTGGCTGGGGGAGATGCGGAGCCAGGATACGCTGCAGGGCGGCGGCGCCTTCTTTGGGTTTCTTCAAGCCCCCGCTCTCGCCTGCCGTTTTGCTCCATGGCTTCCCCGCTGGCCGGACCTGGCTCTGGCAGGCGGCCGTATGGCCTGGGGTGGGGTAGACGTTCCCGTCGGCTCTAAGCCCTGGTAATGTCCCGTGGGATGGTGCCGGCGGGGGGCCTCCCTGCTGCCTGGTTGGGTTCGTCATCCCGCCATCTGCGAGGATAAAGAGAGAATCCGGCAAGGATCCTAGGGCTGTTGTCTCAGCCGTGCCTCGCCCCGACGCCTCCATGGTCCCCGGACTCTTAAAAAAACCCCACACTAATACATCTCAAGCAGCTACGGTTGTGAAGAAAACTGGGAACACGAACCCTGAGGGCATCAGCGATGCCCCTGTGCTGTCTGAGTCTGGCGAGAGCCGGAGCCCCTTGCTCCGTGCGGTCTGAACGGCGCTGAGAGGTCTGGGCAGAGTTTGTTTTAGGTGTGGAGCTCGGAAGGGCCGTGTTAGCTTCCCTCTCCCTCCCCTCATCGGCCGCCTGAGCTGCGGAGGAAAGAATGGCAGAGGGGCATGGAAAAGAACCGAGAATGCTGAAAAAAATACACCCAGCTGCCTTAATGAACCTCTTCGGTTGTTCTTCCATCTCGCACGTGGACAGGCAGTGACAAGACGGGAGGGAGCTGCTGCCCAATGGGATGGGTGGACAGCCACAAGTAACACATCCGCCACTCCTGATTGTGTGCCCCTTAGGGCAGGGACCGCCTCTCTGTTCTGGGTTTGTACAGCGCCTAGCGCAATAGTATCCTCAGCCACGACTTGGGCTCGTAGCACGACCGAAATACACCTACTACACATAGGGCATGTCTAGACTACATCTCTCTTTCAAAAGAGGGATGTAAACTAGGCAGATCGAAAGTGCAAATGAAGTGGGGATTTAAATATCCCGCACTTCATTTGCATAATCACGTCACAGCGTTCTTTTGAAACCCCTTTTTCGAAAGATCCCGTACTCCCAATAGCCCAAGGAGTAGTTGCCAGATTATCTCTTTATCCTCGCAGATGGTGGGATGACGAACCCAGCTATGCAGTAGGGAGGCCCCGCCCCACCGGCACCATGTCACACGACGTTACTGGGGATAAGGGTTTGTTTTTTGGGTTTTTTTGTAAGAACCGTGTGTAGACTGAGGTTTCACTTTCAAAATACCCTTTTTCGAAAGAACGCTGTGACACAATTATGCAAATGAAGCGCAGGATATTTAAATCCCTGCTTAATTTGCATTTTCGATCTGCTTAATTTGCATTTTCGATCTGCCTAATTTACATCCCTCTTTTGAAAGAGGGATGTAGCCTAGACATAGCCCTAATGTACAATGCACAGTGCAGTAGGGTTCTGGACCGTGGCTCAGTGCCCCGAGCTACCGTAATACACCTAATACACAATGTACAGCGCCTAGCACAGTGGTGTCCTAAACTACATTTGGGTTGCCTAAAGCCTGATGTACGGCCTCAAGCCCAGTGGGTCCTAAGCCATGCCTGGGACTCCCAGCTTTACCATAACAATAAAACTGTAGTCCTCCCCTGGGTGAGGTACAACTGGGAGAACTCATGAGTCGAGCTGAGCAAAAAATGGCTTTTTCAGTTCGCTGGCAATTCTGAAAAGTCCTCCCCCCCCCCACAAAAAATCAATTTCAGGTCCAACAAAAATACCATTTTTCACACTTTTCAAGTAACTCAAAAAAGTGAAAAGGAACGATTTGGGTGCAATGGAGCATTTCATGTCGAGAAAATCAAAATGTGTCTTTAGTTTGACCCTTTGAAACTATTTTCATCATATCCATGTCTAGACACGCCCCCGGCAATAAACAAAATTTGGAAACCAACAGTTATTTCATCCTAAGAAACTGAAATGTTTCCCTTCCGAAACGTTAAACATTCTGCTTATTTTGGGGGAGTATTTAAGTTAATTTTTCAAGAAGGCTGATAGAATGAGGCAGAACTGACAGGATTTGACTGGGATCACGCAGCCGGAGAGCTGGCAATAGGTCACAGAGCACCAGTGCTCTATCCATTAGGCCACACTGCCTACCATTTTCTTTCTCCAGCCCTGCGAGTCTTGGCTACTTAGGGTGTAAACATCCTGCAGGGAGAGTGTCTCTCCATATATTGATCATCTCTCACAGGTACCTGAAGCCCTACACTTCTGTGATTCTTGGCATAGGAACTGGCCAGGCTGCAAAGTCTCTAAGTCAGTGCTGGGCAACCTGTGGCCCATGGACCACACGTGGCCCACTGGAGCTCCATCTGTGACTTCCCCGTCTGCCTCCCCTTCCCCACACGCCTCCTCCTCACTGGGGCACCGGAGCCCCACACTTTCTGCCTTTCCCCCCTTCCTCCCAGAACTTTCAGAGGCCACGAATTGCCTGATTCGCACTCCGTCCCCACCCCTGCCCCTCCCGCCCAGAGCTGGAACGCCGCCAATCAGCTGTTTGCGGCGTTCCAAGCTCTGGGAGAGAGGAGAAGGAATCAGGCGATTCGCGGGCTCTGAAAGTGCAGGGAGGAAGGGATCCGGTGCCCCAGCTGGGAAGGAGGCACGTGGGGGAGAGGGGCAGACCAGGAGGGGCCACAGGACTGCAGGTGGATCCCCCAGTAGACTGCTGTGACCCATTGAGGTGAAGGAGGGCCATGCATGCACGCTGCCCACTAGCCTAGGTTGCCCCTCACTCATTTAAATCATGCAAATATCATATTTTGGCCACACCCCTTAGGAGGCAGCCCAGCTGGGAAGGAGGCACGTGGGGGAGAGGGGCAGACCAGGAGGGGCCACAGGACTGCAGGTGGATCCCCCAGTAGACTGCTGTGACCCATTGAGGTGAAGGAGGGCCATGCATGCACGCTGCCCACTAGCCTAGGTTGCCCCTCACTCATTTAAATCATGCAAATATCATATTTTGGCCACACCCCTTAGGAGGCAGAGAGGAACTGGGAGATGGGGGAAGATATGCCACCTACCCGCATCCTTGACTCCTGGTCCCAACTCCTGGCTGGATTTTTCCTGAGCCCCCTTCCAGGCCACAAACCCACCTTCCGGTCTGGCCCCATTACCCTTGTCCATCACCCCACCCCGAGCTACAGCCCCATTCCTGACCCACCCACCATTCCTGGTTGGCCATCCCTACTCTAAGTGCCAAGATAGCAATTGATTCAGCTTTAATGCAGTTCTCCCAAAGCCGGAGAGATCGGACAGCAGACCAATGTGTACGGCTGGATGGGGGAGAAGAAACGGGCGGGAAGCAGTGCAGGCTAGTGGTTAGAGCACTGGGCTGACACTCTGGAGACCCGGATTTTAGTCCCAGCTCTGCCACCAGCCTGAGGGGTGACCTTGGTGTCTCTCCGTAGCCTGCGTGGGAGCTCTCTTGTGGGAAAGGGCTGTACAAAGAGCCAGACGCTAGGATGAGCGACGTCGCAGAAACATGCTTTGGAGAAACCTCCTTTCTCCCTGCAAAAGCCACAGGCCTGGCTCACCCGCACACGGGATGAATTGTGAGTGAGTTTGGCAGACAGGGAACAAATCCACGTCATTTTCGCTCCATTCTGGGTTTTTTAAAACATCGTTAAAAATGCCTGAAAAGGTTTCCGTTTCTAACACATGCCGCTTTTCGTTTGACCGGCAGTTTTTTAATCCATATTCCAAACTAGCACAGGAGGGGCTAAAAAAAGATTTGTTCCCAGTTTTCCAGCTCTGCTACGTAACCAAAAAAAAGTCAATTTTTAGCTCAGCTCAAGCCAGGGCATTTCTGATCCTGCCTTCCCGTCACAGGCATGGAGGCTTTTGGGGGGGGGGGAGCTGACACCCTAAATCTAAGGGGACAGCTCAGCGTTAGAGCCAATCCGGGCAGATCGGAGCCTGCCCGGCCCCAAAGGCCCAGGGGACCCTTACCCCGAGAAAGGAGCGTCCCGTAGTTCTCCGGAACCATGTCTCTGTAAACGGGCCTCGGTGCGGGGTCCAGCAGAGCCCACTGGATCTCGGCAAAATACATCGGACCCGCTTCCAGCGTCCCAGGGACCTGGGAGGAGAAGGGTTTGAGCCTGAGGCAAACTAGAATCCTGCTCCAGGGCTCCAGCTGCTTCATACCCACCCTCCCCTCAGGCCAGCCTCACGGTCCCCTAGCTGCCTGTCCCCTCCCTCCAGCCCCACATACCCCACATCTCTGCCCCACCTTACAGCTCACTCCTGCCCCTCTTAACTCCAGCCCCACATCCT